CTCAATGTTCATCTCCATACCGTTTTCTCAGCGCTCAAGCCGAGCCGTAGTTTCCGCATTTTTAGCATCTCAGGGATCCGACCGCCTAAGAGATGCATCATGCAGGTGAGTGCGTTCGTTCGAACTCTGAGACTGGAAATTTCACAGATTTATGGGCCGATGGGACACGATCAAGCATTGAACGAACGAAAAGATCGCTGTCCCTCTAGTCCCCCAACTGAAGTCTGGCGCACAGTGACCTTACCTGACGAATGCAGTTGAACTTCGAATTTTGGAATCTAAACAGCACGTGAGGATGGCACAATGGCACACAACACGGCCAAATCAAACTGCATCTTTCCTCTCGCCTCACCGGACGCTATTCGAGAAGCCATGCAAAATCCGTTCTTTCCAGATATCCCCCCTCCCCCTTACCTTCCGTTTCTACTGGAATCCCCGGATTACGAGGCAATCCTTCGCGAGATTCGCGAACGTCGTGAAAGGGCTCTTGCTGGGGATGCAGCACATCCTGACGCGAGTTATGGCACCGATCACACCAGCCAGTCGACCCTCCCCGATATACAAGGACTCATGGGCATCCCCCCACAGTTGTCGGGCTTCGGCCCAGCGACGGGAGACACCGTCCACCCCATGCCACTCCTCCATCCCGCATTTTATTATGCAGGGTTGCCGAATCCTGCTAGCTCCGCGACGGCAACTATGCCGGAATCCCAAGCCACCCACCCACCACTTCTTCCCGTATTCCATTACCCCGGCATGCAGGGAATCGCCAATCTCCTGCCTCTCCTCAACTCCCACGATAACCCTTCGCTCCATCCTGCATTCTATACTCCTGGAATGCCAAGTTCTCCGTTACCAGCCCCGTCGCGACCCAGCCTGAACGGCACTTCCGCCTGGGCTGATCATTTCAGTTATGGTGGCATGCCACTCACCCACGACGCCCTGCCCAAGTTCTTGATCCGACCTCTGCAGGCTGGCCATGGACCTATCCATCGTCTTCCCACCGAGATGCTACTCGAGATATTCGCGCTCTGCGCGCCCAAGTACCAGGGCATGGACCGTCCGTGGGAGACGAGGACCGAAAAAGAGATCGTTTCCCTCATTTCTCAGCGCCACCTCCTTGATTTAGCGCAAGTCTGCTCGCGGTGGCGTACAATGGTTCTCGGCACCCCGCTTCTGTGGAATACCCTGGAGGTGGATTTTACTGGGCTGTTCGCGCGCGAGAGGATGAAGGCGGCCGGGCACGGCGTCTGGAAACTCCTGAGAACGTTCCTCATGCGCTCACGGGATGTTCCCCTCACCCTCTACATTCGTGCCACCGGCGAGACGACTCACTTCCATACGAAGCTGGAGCTGCTCGCCAGACATTCTCCCCGCTGGCGCTCATTCAAAGGGGTTATGGATCAGGACAGTATGCAATTAATCGGGGGCGTGAAAGGCACGCTTCCCATGCTTGAGCGTCTTTGCCTTGAAGGGAGTGGACTTGTCACCGGCGATCTCTTCGAGGTGGCACCGCACCTAAAATGGGTGCACATATCGGGTGTATCGACGCCGCAATTACCCTGGGGGCAGTTGCTTAATGTGTATCTACACGTCACCGAGAAGCTCAAGGAACTCCTTGCGACGGCAATGCCCTCGTTTCCCCACGGTGCGGTGGTCCAGCTCGACATCTATGCAACTATGGACATTGAGCCCGTCGACCTCCCACCCGTCGTGTCCTCCGTTTTCGCCCTATCCCTCTCGGTCAGCCATGAGCCGGGCGTCGACAGTCCCGAGCATACGGAGCTCATCGTGTCCGGCCTTCTCGGCGCACTTACTCTCCCTCACATGCGCCGTTTCACAATGCACACTCCGGAAGACACTGCCTGGCCTGCCTCTTCGTTCATGGGGTTAGCCTCGCGTTCCAAGTTCCGCCAGAACCTGATGGATTTGGAGCTACTCGATGTCGCGATCCCCGTGGCAGACTTAATCCAATGCCTCGGAGAACTGAAAGCGCTCCGTGCGCTCACCCTGTCGGACATCGCAGCAGTGGCAGGTCGGCATGAGGAACACCTCATCCTCGCCGACACTCTCTTCCGCAGGCTCGCATTCGTTACCGACCCCGCCGCATGTTTGGTGCCGCGTCTGAGCTCGTTCCGGTGTTTTTCTCAGTTGCGCTTCACCCACAGTGTGCTGCTCGAGTTCGTCACTTCGCGGCTAGAGTCTGGACGCGACCAAACGTCTGGTCCATTTGAGCTGGACATACATCGACAAGCGGGAGTGGTTGCAAACCTGGATCTCGATGTTGCACGCGAGCTCGAGTTATTACGGGCGCAAGGCCAGTTAGCCTAACTCCAGACGAAGCTAAATAACTAGAAATTGTGAAATTGATCTTTCCGTTTGAAATGAAATCATTGTATGCGAATGTAAACTGAATGATGGTTCAGACGCGGCTCCTCGTTCCATACAATTACTCACAAGATTGCTGCCAGAGAAACTCATTGCGGGATCAATTTACTTCAGAGCAGAAGCTCGGCTTCCCACTCCGTGCCGTTTTTTTCTTCCGTATCTGCAAAGGTTTTGACAAACGGGAGGCTGAGCTCAATGGGAGACCTCTGTGTGAACCAAAGAAAGACTTGTCAACACAGATTGACCCACCAAAACATCCACAAGGCTCGGTAGCATACCTCGACCAAGTCTAGCAGAGCATGCCTGTTCGAATCAGACCCAAGCCATGTCTTCTCGTAGGCGTTCACTTTTTTTGCTGTTGCTTCTTGTTCACGATTTTGATTGCCCAGGGTTGAAGCAGTGTGGTACAGATTTATTCAAATCGTAGTAGACGTACCGCGGAAGAAGATGTGCAGAGGACCACAATGCGATTTTTTCTTTCTTTTTTTCTCCCCAATTTGACGGGTTCGATACCTCAAGTGTCCTGATCATCTTGGGTAGAGTTCCAGAACAAGGCCCTGCTTTTCTTCTGAATCTGTACACCGTCGAGCGAAAAAAAGTATTCGGAGGAGGTAAAGTGTACTCAGGAGGCTGGACACCAAAGGATTCGCCCGGTTTGTTTGACAAGGAGAGAAAGATGGGCACAAATTCCGCAGACAAAATGGACATCCCCAACTATTTAGAAAGGCTTGGTAGCGCGTGGTGCGCATCCGCAGACTGTAAAACGTCTTGATGCACAAAATTCAGTGGACAGTGCCTGTTCGAATCAGGTCCAAGCCATATAATGTGGGCACACTCGTTTTTTTTCGGATCACCATAGGCGGCGGATGCGACAGGAAAGCAAATAATGAGCGACGAAGACGGCGATAAATCATCTATCCAAGTTCTGTGCTGGAGGCATTTGTGTCAGCTTGAGTGGACGAGGGCAACGGTGAACCTCAAGCTAGATCAGAAGAGGCACCGGAGCTTCAAGATTACTACATATCACCTAACAAAAAGTAAATAGTCGAGAGAATGATCAGTCGAGCATTCTCAAGAACGGTGGGGTCACCGCGAGGAACGTGCCGTTACATGTCAGAAGTGGATTTCGGACAACTAAGTGGGCGTTTAAAGTCGCGTCGCGAAAGTCGCGACCTTGGTCGCGACGGCCAGGAAGTTTGAGGTCACCAAGAGCTGGATGTAGATAATCCGCCGGAAGGAGGTGTTAGGCCGGAGGTCGAGCACAGCAAGAGCACAGTGGACATGGTGGTCGTAGAACAAGCATTGCTGATGGAAATGATCTGGCATCAGATGGCGTTGATGCGCCAGGCCGATCGCCCCGCATCAAGAATGCCGCCTTTCCGAATCCCGACACGTCCCGCCTCGTCAAACTTCACATAAATCGCATGGGATACATTGATCAATTGAAACGGGGTTACTACTCACATACAGCGGCGTGGTTTATTGTCATTGAATTCCAACCACACAATTACCAAGGTTCTGAAACTTGACTTCCAGCCAACTTCCAGCACTCTGAAATTCGGGGTGCATATTCACATGACCCTCGAAAAAATAGCCAACATTATCGAATCCCACAAAGGAGAAAACCACTCTGTATTACGGGAGCCTCCTTATTTGTTCAACAGAATGCTTGAATATATCGCAATTTGAAAATGCCCAACGTGCGTTACTATCATGTCGAAGCCGGATTCTGGACGCATTTACAGTGGACTTATCCCAGCATCATAGACCAAGTTTTCTTTGAGCTTCATCCTCGAAACCAGCCCATGGTGGGTACTTTTTAGCTTCCGAAGGTCAATACTGGTTGGAATTCATAAGTTTAACTCCTCGTTACTACTCAATGTACCACAGGCCGGATACAAAAACCTTTGATATGTAAGCCATAAGCAGATTCAACGGGAATGGAGACTGAAAAAACTCCACTGGCAAAAGAACTTAGAAGAGGGAAAAAATCCCCTCTCGCAAATGCATCGAACGTGGGGATTCGAACCCAGCCATCATCTGCCCATGATTGTGCTCTCATCGATCTTACAGAGGGTGCACCGTGCACCACGTCCGCCGTGAAGACAGTCCTGGAGTCTCCGAAAGTGCGACTCTCTTTCAAAAAAAGATCTCACCATCTGGATGCGTTGGCAAGTTAGGGATGAACGGTAAACCTCTGCCCAGTTACACGTTCCGCCGTGTCCTCGTTTGCAAAGTCAAATTCTCAGTTACTGCAACTTTGGCATCGCGGACCGAAAAGAAATAAAATCACTGTTGGAGGCCATGCGGACGCCGGAAGTCGAACCCGTCGGCTGTTTGCTAACAAGAAGGGAATGGGTACATAAAGCACAGCAGTGAGCCTCTCCACGTCCGCTTGAAACTTTACATTGAAGGGTGTCTAAAGCCTTGAGGTGCTTCAGTCCGTGATCAATTGGGAAAGAATTGCAACAGAAGCTGGTTCAACCGTGCACTGCGAGGTTCGTGCAGCGTTTCCGATTTCTTTTTCTTTTTCTTTCTGGCCTCTGGAAGGTCTTTGCTTCAACGAGTCACCCGAAAAAAGCACATGAACAAAAATAAGACTTCTTGCTGCATGTGGATGTCGGGAGTCGAACCCGCTAACTGATTTAGGTAGACAGGTATCATATGTAGCAGCAGCCGTGCACCGCGCACCACATCCACTTCAATACTTACTTTTCAAAGTTATATCAGTGTTACAGCGGTGCTGGAGTCCGCAGATTAGCAGGCGAAAGGCCAGAACCGCTCACCAGCGCCACCACAATTGATCTCAACTTACACATACACTCCTGGGCTGCCATATTCCAACCACGTTTCGAGAATTCGGAATATTCAGGTGAGTTTATGTGAATTGCATTAAGATTTAATTTCGGACGATATAGACGGAGTATCTTACATACAGTGAGTGGTGAGTGACTCTGACTCTTTTCAACATGTTGGTGCTGGAGCACAGCCGGATGATTTCTGCTTTCGATAAAAGAAGAAGGAAAAAAACAATTGACCCGCCATTGAATGCGGACGCGGGGATTCGAACCCCAACATCTGCTTGACGGTTTGACAATGGATATGTATTTACCACAGGGGTGCCACACCATGCACGACGTCCGCTTCAACCTCTATGTGAGGAATCCAGTAGCTAGCAGACAAGCACAGCTTGGCGGAATTTAGCAGGAGATTAGCAGCTGAGGGTCCAACAACTAACCAGTGGTCCCCACCGTGAAACTAGCATGTCGATGACAAGTACAAGTACAAGCTTGAATCATGTAGCAGAAATGCGGACTGACACTCTTGTATTGCATTTGTCTGCCGAGAATTATTATGATATCCTTTCCGCACCTTCACTTCTCCAACTCCCCCTACCGCACATCGACCAGCTGCCCCTCCCTCACACCCGCGTCCGTGGCCGGGGCCGTCCCCTCGCCCTGCCCGTGTCCACCTTCGTTCCCATTCCCATTCCCATTCCCATTCGCGTTTCCGCCCCCATCCCCATGTCCACCAACATCCCCGTTGCCTTGCCCTTCCGTCTCAGTCTCCGCCCCGCTCCCATCCTCCTGGCTTTCCTCATCCTCCTCATATTCGTATTCCTCTACATCCTCCAGTGACACCGAATCCGCCAGACTCGACAGCGACGCGCGGTACATATTCCCGCCATACGGGTCCGAGTCCGAGTCAGATTCCGCGACGTCGAATTCGATGTGCGGCGGGACGGTTTCCGGGGAGAGCAGAGACGCGCCGATGGCGATGTTGGCGTTTGCGCTCGTGCTGGTGTTGGTGTCGACCACAATGGCCGGGCCGAGGCTGAGATTCGATGAGGTAGAGGACGAGGTGGAGGTCGACGCGGTGGTAGCAGAGCGCTGTAGGTGGACCGTCGGGACTGGCGCGGGCGGGAACCATGCGTTGAGGCAGCGCGCCTTTTTGAGGCATTGGATGTCCGTACGAATGATGTCCCGGCAGAACATGTCCATGTCGAGGTCGTTGTCGTCGTAGCCTGTCGAATTAATCAGTTAGGTGTTGTAATAATTTGGGCGGATAGTAAACTGTGAAGAACCCACCAAAAGGCTGTTCGATTTCCTCCCCAGCGGCGACAAACCCGAGGTACACGAAGGCGCCTACCGAGACCTGGGGAGAAAATGTTATGAGCATCACAACCATCCGATAGATTACGAGCAAAGTGTACGCACTGCGGGAACCGTATGCCACTGGAAGTCGCCCACGAGTTGCAGTGGGAGCAGGAAGAGGTACAGCCAGACGACGCTATAAGCGCGATGCTCAATCAGCCATGTAGTCCCGATTACGATTCCATTGAAACGACTTACTGGCTGGGCAGAAACAAAAAGAATCACAAACGCAGCCATCAGCTAAAGGAAATTATCACAGCAAGGCACGTACCGGATATGCACCGAGTACACGCTGTAAGATCAGGAAATGAGCGTCATAACAGATGAATGAAGAATCCGAGGACTTACAAAGGCAACGGCGTCGTGAGAACCTGTTCGAGCGCTATAGGGAGACGAAGTCAGTTTGTCTATTGTTGACCTCGGCTCAGAATGCATTGTGAAAAAAGGAGTGGTCGCAGCGCCGCCATGATCAACGGCAAACCCCAACGACGCGGCCGTCTGAAAACCTGGTGAATCAAAGCAGTTACTCACTGGTCAAGCTCGCCTCAAACGTCTGGATGCCCGCGATCATCGCACCGAGACTGGTCCCAGGGACCGTCTGGCGCGCCTCCAGCACGCTGAACCACTCCGAGAGGCAACGGAGGACCTGCGGGGAAATGAAAACAATTAGTAAGCGTATCGGAGGATGACAATACTTCGCAACGGCCGGATTCGATGAGGCCAGCAGAGAGCATCTGATCGCGCAACGACTGAACCCGCCACCGTGTCGGACGGAGGGCACGAAATACAATCCGCCAACCAACCAACGCAGAACGCAGCTTCATCGAAAACCCAACTTACCTCCTCCGGCAAATTCTCCCCCATCTCGACCTCCTCGAGCTTCGCGACGCCCGCAGGGTGGATCGGCCCACTCCCCGCCGCAGAGGGCGAACGCATCGGCCCGCTCCACGCGCGCTGCCGGCGGCTCGAGCGGTCGCGGTGCTTTTGCCTGTCGAAGTCGTCCTAGGAGAAACGAGGGGGAGATAGTGAGCACCCACAACTCTCAGAAGAGCACCGCAACTCTCAGAACAAAAATCGCCCACATACCTTCCTCCCCCAACTCCCCAACCACCGCGCAACCCCCGAAAACACGCCCGCAAACGGTATAACATCCGGGCTCACGCGCCGCAGCACGCCGTCCTCCGGCGCGGGGTTCATCGCGGGGAGTAGCGGCTGGTGCGGGAGGGAGACCGTCGAGGGGTTGTTTGTGCCGTTTTTATTATTGCTATTGGCAGAGAGGCTGGCGAGGTTGCTCGAAGCACCTAGCCCGGTGGGAACGCTTGCACTTGAACTCGCGTTCTGGCCATCTATCGGTATACAGACATTAGATTAGATTCAAGAGGCACGGAGTAAAAGAAAGACAAGGAACGTACCCGCCGCACCACCATCCACCAACGACGCACTCGAATGCGCGTCGATGCTCCCCAAATTCAGACTCCCCGTCACTGCCCCCGTCCCCGCGTCGCCGGCGGTCGCCTGCGTGAGCACCGCCTTGGCGGGAGAAGCATACGCGGGCCGGCGCGCGGCGTGTGTGGTGGGCTTGAGGGTGCTGTTGGTCGATACTGCAGAGGAGGATGCAGATGTAGATGACGAGGAAGGAGGCGCGAGCGTTGATGGAGTGGGGGTGGGGGTGGGGGTAGCAGGGCGCACGGCGGCGACGGGGAAGTGGGCTGCGGGGATGGCGAACTGTGGGTTGGTGGGGTAAGTTACGCGTTTCCAGTGAGGAGGAAAGAATTCTCGCTAAACGAGTTAAGAACAAGGAATGTAGAAAAGCAACCGGCCGGGAAGGAAGGAGTAAGGAGAACGGTTGATGACGCCGTTTAAAATCAATCGGAACGAACACGAAGAAGAAGACACGCACATCATGCAACGGCCGGACCAAATCGTACAGGTCTTCGTAGTAGATTCCGAGCTCGCCACGGAGGTGGTGTTTCAGCGCAACTGCGAATCTGGGGGTGGGTTAGTTACGTGGCAGAGTAGGAGTAAGCGCTGTGGAGGAGAGGACAGGAAAGGTGGAGGGGAAAAGGGAATATGGAGACGAAGAGACGAAGTCAGATCACGGAAAGTGGGGAAAGAAACAAGGGAACGACCAAAGCCGACGCGTACATATAAAGCATGAAGTGAAAGTAAACGTGCCGGGAAAAGTAAACGCGTGGGGGAAAGCGATGACGGGCAGGAAAAGAATTGGAACAAGAGGATTGGGGAGAAAGAAAGAGTATTTAGAATGTGGTGCGGCATTCGGAATGTGGAAGAACATAAAAAAGCAGAGAAAAGAAAGACCACGCACGCCTCAACCAAATCCAGCGCCATGCGCTTCTCCGCCATCACCTTCGGCGCCTCCCTCCTCTCCCTCTCTTTATCCCTCTCGCGTTCTTCTGCGGTTTGTTCCCCCACAATAATGGGTGACACGACCCCGCCCGTGAGGCGCGGGGGGACGTGGTACCTGAAAAATATTACTTCGCCTTCCAGCCCCGTTCAAATAATATAGAAGCAGGAAAATGCGCACCACACAAGCCTTCCCATCGTGCGCGCGTTGCGAATGACGTCGGACCACGCGGTGCGGCCCATCCAGTACCGGTCGTAGCTGCGAGTATTCAAGGTTAGAATAAAATGAGAGAATGGAGGGAGGAAAACGAAGACGCACCCGCTAATCGCGCGGTAGGAGATTACAAAACCAATAACGACACCCATAACGGTGAGCATGACGTTGGGCACGTCGATTTTGCTTTCTGTCATGGTCCAGATGAAGACGACCGCGGCGGCGAAGGAGCTGTGGAGGCTGTTTTGCGGGATTGTCAGAAGAGAGCCTGTAGGATAGATATGATAGCATGGGACGAAACAGGACGCACACTACGGCGGGCCTGCGCGTTCGTCGTTAGCTTCGGGTACGCATACGAATACGGAAGACGATAACACACCAAATCTTCCATATCTACACACCCGTTCAAAAAACAATTAGCCTAACTTTGACAGAAATGAGAAGGAAGGAAGAAGAGACGCACCACACTCCCTCTCCCAAAAGTCCACTTCAAAAACGTATACGTCGGGACCTTGGGGATGAACGCCGTGGACGCGGGCGTGGGGCGCATCGCGGGCAGTAGCGGGTGGTTCCCCGTGAAGGACCGCTTGCCCTGGACTTTGCGGCGCGTGCTCATCTTGTTCTTACTTTAACCTTCGAATTCGTAGTCGTCACCGAGGTTTTCGAGGAATGACCACTGGCGAACGAGTTTGCTTCTCAGTGGAAGCCGTTTATAGACGCAGGCGGTGAGTGTCCCGTTTTGGTTCGTTCAAGTGTGGTCCGTTGGTGGAGGAAGGACGGGGGCGAACAAGGAGGAAGCGGGAAGCAAGGGTGACAGACAGACTGATCATGTATCCCATGTGGCTGTGTTCCATCGGCAACATTTTGGAGTGCCGTGAAGATCGGATCGTCGGCGATGGCCACAACCACCTCCATTGGGTGAAATGTCCGGGAGTAAAATCCGCACTGTGCGTTGAACTGGGACGGTG